AATTTGGTTCCAGAATAAACTTTTTTTCAGGATATAAAATTGTATAATCTATCACTGTTACTTTTGATTTGGGGAAGAAGTGGATTTGGAAGCTGAAGATAACACTGTGAGTTGTGGGTTTTAATGGAGAGAAGAAATAGCAGAATCCTTGCAGTCCATTACTTTTTAGATCACAACTCTCCTGCCACAATGACAGTGATTGAAGCATCACCAAAAATTCTTTGAAAATAGCAGAAAAAAATATTCAGGTCAAACACCAACTGCTTTAAAGTATAACCAGACACTTAAAGATGCCCTTTGGATGATCCACACAGAGTTATACTGACACCTCACACTGATCAAGTTGATGTTACTTGTGTCACCTTTTCTAATTATTTTTCCAAATCTTTATCAGTTGATGGATACATTCATTCACTCATCCACATCCAACCAGCAGCAGCATCATCATCATCATCAGAACTTGATGACATGATTTGTTGACTAATGCATCTGATATGACCAACTTTTCTTACATCAACCTTTTCTTTTTATGGTATATTAACATCACCTTTTTGTTTGGTAGCAGATCAGTATTAGGATAAACCAAAAATTACGGTCTCAGGTCCTTGAATTCCATGTCCAACAACATGTGATGACCCCACAAATGCCTAAGCATGCTCTCTAAAACAGTGGCAATTGAGCCCCACTCTGCTACAAAGGCTAATAAACTTAAATGTCAGTGAGAATGAATCAGTTCTTTAAGAGAAGGATAAGGCAAGCAAGAAATTGTTTAAGATTTCATTATTAAATGACCATCCAACTTGAGGAATACCAAATGCAGCTCAACTTCCTTTTTGAGTCCAAAAAGTAGTGATAGAGATCTCAGACTTGGAGGCATTTGCAGGATAGCCAGGAGGCAATTACTGGTGACTCCCACGCTGCTCCATTTAGACAAATGGAGCAGAGTTTTAGTGCTGTTGGGTGGATCTCCACTAAAGATCCTGTGATCATTATGCTGCAAGTTGACCACATTAAGCACTGCTATAGACACTGGCAATTCTCATTATCAATTCTACAAGCTGAAATCCAGTTGTGCCATCAATGAAAGAAGCATATCATCTGAATTTTCTTGACCAAAATACAATGTTGCCACCTCATCATGCAAGAGATGAACACAAGAGTTTTATGTGTTTTTTCTTTGATTTGAGAAAGTTTTCACATTCTTTCTTGAATGAATACCATGTTTACGGAAGTATTTTTGACAGCCTTCATTGTTCTGTACTATCAAGTGAACTACAGAAGCAAGAGAGAACTTTTGTTTGAAATCAATCAAAAGAAGAAGAATGACATTCAGAAAAAGTAAGGCCCTAATGTTGAAGATAGTCTGCAATTTGCAGAAAACTAATGTTGAATGCTTTCTTCTTCTAGATTCTAAGCCTGGTATTGGACTGGACTTCTTATTGATCCAACACTTTGTTCGAGTATCTTATCCGTGAGCTATCTTTCCTCTCGTTTATATTGATTTCAATTGCTCAATCACATGAGACTTAATTAGAACTCATTTCCTTCCCCTTGAGAACTGATGAACAACTTTTAACTACTAAGAGAGAAATGAAAAATTACCTTTAGCAATAATAGTGCAATTCTGTCATTAGTGATCAAATGTCTTCATCGTTGGAGACGCATCTCGACGAAGGTTTCAGAAAATACTTTCATTACCTTCTGACTACAGTTTTTGGAGAAATTATTGGTGATGAAAATAAAATCATAGTTCGATCTTTAGAAATAAAAGCTTTTGTTGCAAGATGTCATATCTGTTGAAGAGAAATTTAATGATAGAACACTGCTATTGCTACAAGCAAGATTGCATCCTCAGCAACAAATTTTTTCTTGAATTAAAGGCCATAGAGAATCAGAATCTTCACCAAAATTTTCATTGCAATTAAGACACTTCCATTGCAGGAAAAGCAGTAATTTGTCACTGAAACCATTTGAGACGGGTGAACTTTCCGATACAACATTCCCTAAAGTGAAAAAAACTTTACATGAAACAAGATGAATTTAGATTAAGCAAAACTTGTTTTACTAATTTGATGTGCTGCTCCAAATCATCCAAGAACTTTGCGGAAACCAAGGCCTCCCTAGTTGAAGCTGTTTAGTAACCAATTTAGCAGCAAAAGCAGAATTAGTGTCACAGCTTAGCATATACAGCTTATTGAGCACATCTACATACATGCAGCAATATAGCTATAAAATGATGTTGAGAACCATAAGATATCTAATCAAAGTAAAACTTTACAGTTCTCTTTCTTAGTGATGATTGGTTCTCCAAACCTCCAGAATGAGGAGTTTCTGAAATTTGTGTATTTCCTGCAACATGACAGATTAAAACATTTCATATATATATTTCTCAGAAGATTCAAAGCGATATATCTGGTAATGCGGATGGGAATTTTTGACAGGTTCTAATTGGGCCAGTAAACAAACAGATGGAAATAAGAATCATGATCACTTAGCATTCATCACCATCCTACTTGAGCATCCAAGTGCATCTTGTAAAAACACTATACAAGACAAAATTAGCATCAAGAAATCTTCACCAGCAATTTCTATTAGTTGCCTGAATATTAACTCAGAATCTGTGGTACCTGTCATTAGAGTCACAAAAGAAGATGGGAGAATGCAATAATCATCCGGTAGCAGAGACCACATCTAACAAACAGTGACTGGAAATTGCACCGAATGAGTTGGCACAGACAACAAGAGAGGAAATCAAAAGAGCTCAGGAAAGTGCAAGTCTAGACTCAATGGCCATAATTGATGAGCTTGAGAATTCTCATTCTGTCCTCACAATTACCAAAAACAAAGTCACCATGTGAAGCACAGTCATTGCACCTCTCTGATCCTTAACTTGACTCAACCAGTAGAAGCGTCAGAAAGAAACAAGTTGGAGAGTGGGAAGTCCAAGATGGAATTTGGCACTGGCAATGTGTTTCGAGAAATGCATGAAGAACTGGATCAGAAATGTGAGTAGATATAAACACAAACTCAAAGTGGAGTAGGAAGAAAGAGATACATATCAAGGAATCTGCAACTTAGTTTGAGATCCGTTAATTAACATAGAAATGGATACCACCATTCAATTGGATCACAAGATGTAAACACAAACAATGCATTGCGTAAAAGGAGAGACAATGCAGAAACCACAACAGTAAATTCTTAGATCACATATGCTAAGAACTATGAAACAAAATCTAACATGGTATGTATCAGAGCAAAAGTCATCATATGTTTAGAGGGAATCTTAAGAATATAAATTCAATCTTTCAGATGGAATGATAGCGAGAAGAATTTTGACATATTATTATTATATGAAAACATCAAATCAGGTGTATCCATGGTTTAATATGAAAGCTTGATAATTGGATCGACCAGCTCTCACACAATGAAACTGGAATTGTAAGTCCTATAGAATCCTTGCACAAGAGTTTGACTCGATCTGACCGAAGAGCATATCCTTGCGACATTTAATTCTCTGATGCAGTGCAATTGCCAAGTCCTTAGATAGCATGCCCAAAGAGCACAAGGACAGCAGCAGAGGTGGGGGCTGGCATTTAACAGAGACCGGTGGAGATCAGAGGGAGTGATAGCTCTTTGAGAGAGTGAAGTAGGCTCTCTTTAAGAACCGGCATTGAAGGGAATTCAAGGGGAGTAAATGGTGGCAGGTGGGCACAATCCCATGAACTATATGACCTTCTTCTTCCAGCTTTTAATGCCAAGGGCTTCTTCCACTTTAAGGATAAAGCTCCTCTCCGAGCTCTAAATTCCATGCTCCCATCTCAAGTTTCTAAAGGGGCCACCCTCCAATGCACTTCTCAAGTTCTACACATCAAAAAGCTGGTTTGCTAATTAGGAGTCTTAGATTTCTCTTGTTGATCTCTCTATCGCCTGATCATTATTTTGTGTACAGGAGCTGAAGGATGATATTGTGCTCAAACTTCCATATCGTTCGGCATCGCTTGTTATATACTTATAATCATTAGAATCGAGTGGCAATTGCTTTGTTGTTCTAATCAGTCGAATTAGATTCATTCATTAATGGATTTGGCTTCCTAACAAATCCATGTTGGAGATGATAAGGCGAAAGAAGAATAGCTGTCATACGTAGGATGTCTTGTTCAGAAATTGCAGTAGTGCTCCAAATGCATTACGTTATATGCCATCAGTAGCTACTTAACTTGCTTCACCAAACCTTGGCAGACATCATGTCTGCATAAAAATTCTGATCAATTCCCACATAAATGTTGAGAAAATTAGTTAGAGCGGAAAATATGGACCATCTTTTATTAGGTTAAGAGGGACATTATATTCATACATACATAGATCTGTCTGTGTCCATCTCTTGATTTGTGTAGAGCTAAGCAAAACGAGAGAAACGGATGATGACACCATAATTGCATGATTGTGAGGTGCTGCTGCATAACCAATAGGTCATGTTAATGGATCACAATCTTGTTTGTCCACTCACCATAACCAATAGGTACAGTAATCGAGTTGAAATTGAAGAGAAGGGGAAAGGACTAAGGCAATCAATGGGTGGCTGTGCCATTAATGTTTGTGTGGAATAAGAATTTAACGAGAATAAATATTTTTTTTTAGGTTGAGTAAATCCCCCCAGAAAACTATGGGAAATGATGTTTTCTCTTAGGCCTAAACTGTTTGCATCAGCTTTGTGAGAGACCAAATCTTCCAGCAGCTTTTGTGGAATGATTCAACCAGCTAAAATAGCAATCTCCTCATTTAAAGAGGAGGGAGGGGAAGGTGTCCATTTATTTCAGAGATGTGATAGTTTTCAATTAGGGTTGAGAAATGGGTGTTGGGATGCTTTAAAGAGGAGTTCATCGGTTGACTCATATTTGGAAGTCGGAGTTAATGGAAGATGCATGGCACTCAACTGCTTGTGCAGTTGAGCTTCTCCTCCCTTCAATTAGACGTCACACCAGCCGTGCTATTAGTGCTTGACAGTGTTGGATAACAGTGACTTATGGACGCAGTTGAGCTTGACCTGATTCCCATGCAATTACTACGCATGCAGGGGGTTGTGATTCCTATGTTGATGCGTGGTAAGAGTCATGGATCACAGAAACAAGAGAACTTGTGTTCTTTTGTAGCATCTCCCATTAGATCCTTGCCTGCGGTTGAGTGCTATTAAATGTGCCTCCTAATCCAGCCTATATAAGCAGCTCAAATCCTACGAGGAGATGGTAGAAAGACTGGCACTTTGAGAGCTGAAGTGCTGCTTTGGTTCGAACTCCATGGTGTCGGTGTCGGTGTCGCTGCAAGCGGCCCTTTCGCCAGAGGAGAGGAGGACATGCCCCGACCTCCAGGATTTCTTCTCCAGGAAAAGGAAGCGCAGAGATGGAGAAGAGAGCCAAGGTAACAAGGAGCCCAAGCTGGTGAAGGACGAGGAGGAGGAAGAGGACACCGAGCTGGATCTCGACGCTCCCTTGCCTTCGGAATGGCAACGCTGCCTCGATCTCAAGGTAGATAGATATCAAACATTACAAGCCATGTCAGCTCAGATGAGATTGCATGGAGATCCGGAAGAGAGTTGATGCGTAGATTTCGATTGTGCAGTCGGGAGCGATACACTTCTACAACACCAGGACGCACCGGAGGACCGCCATGGATCCCAGGCTGAGCAGCTTGGAGCCACCGAGCTCGCGGCCGAGGCTGGACCTGGAGCTCAACCTCGAGCCGCCGGGGAGCCACCTCTACGGAGGAGAAGGAGATCTGGTGAAGCAGGATGCATGCAACTCCGAGGACGACGAGATGGTGGCGACGGCCTGCATGCGCTGCCACATGCTGGTCATGATGAGTAAGGCATCCTTATCGTGCCCCAGCTGCAAGTTTGTGCACCCACCGAATCACAGCTTCTCGGCGTTGTGCACGCCAGCTTTCAAGCTTGTGTGTTGCAAGGATCAGTACTCCAATTAGTCTTCCTTACGTATCTTTAATATGATGTATATAGTATTGCAAAGAGGCAGGTTTTGGTCAGTTTATGTTCAGGTGGAGCAGCACTCTTTGTTCAATGGATTCACGTTCCTAAATAAAGTAGCAGTAGATGACTGTTGGAGAAGACAATGTGTCCCTGTGCCTGTAACTCTAGTCTTGTGTAATAAGACAAAAGTATATTTAGTGGCAGTCAATGCTTTTGCTCTGCAACCAAGTAGCTGCTGCATCAGAAGATGTTAATGGTGCAATCTCTGGAACCAGTAAACCCTACCAGACAGCTTAATTGAAGGGTCTCTGAAGAATTCTGCTACTGAAGAAAACTCTGCAGCAATGATAGCGAAACATATCAGCGAGGAGAATTCGTACTTGCTTGCTACAGGATGTAGATAAATTGATGATATCACATGTGTGACTGAGCCATGTAACCACCATTGCACCAGCCATGGAGTGCATGTGAAATCATTGATTAGGCCTTCCAGTGGTCGCCTATCAATGATTACTGGGGCAATGAATGGAGTGCTATTAACTTTAGTTGACAAAGCATTTTGAAGCTGCCCATCCAATGTTGATATGACATGTAATTTAAATGGCAGTATGATGGTAAGTCAACTTCACACCATCTATGACTTTGGGAGCACAAAAAAATCTTCCAAAATGAATCTGTTCCTCAAGAATCCTGGCTGCAACAAAGCAATGATCTGATCCAATCCAACACAGTAAATTTCCAGGTTATCATTGAAATGGGATGGGAAATCTTCAGTGTCCTGTTTTAGAGGAATACTAATACATCCAACATTTATTTGCTCTTTTCCTTTGACAGAAACGTGTAGACAGTGTACCTGTTTTAAATTCTTTGGTTCCCCTTCTCTTTCATATCCTTCAAACAGTTGCAGGCATCACAAAGAAAAATGGTGGTCCAGGATGTATTAGTGGCTGTGAAATATGTATTGAAGCACAAAGATATACTTTAAATTCTCTCTCTCTCTCTCTCTCTCTCTACAGGAGAAATGGCTTGCGGTAAATGTCAAACATCTCTGAAGAAGATAGCTGAGGCTCCTGCAAAGCAAATTAAGCTCACATTAGGATGTGATTAAAATGATGAAGCACACTATATGACCAGAGTTAAGGAGAAAATGATTGTGACAAAAGCTTCATCCTATAAAATGTATCAAATGAGGAGGAAGAGAAGCCCCTCAGCACCCAATGGCGTGTTTAGGTTCCCCAAGTTCATTTTATTTGAAGATATCTCAGGTAAAAAAAGGGAAGAATTTCTTGATTGTCTTGTCGAAACATAAGATGTTATTTACACCCTATATGTTGATAAGCAACAGTTTGGATTTTAGGCATTGACAAATCACCATTAGGAAGTGAAAAGCATAACATGTTACTGTTTCACTGTAGATACAGGTGGATTAAGGTACATGAAGCAGATAAGAATGCACCCTGTTCATGTGCAAATTGCATGATCCTACATGAATGATCAGTAACTTGGATGAAACACCAGTTCACTTTTGGTCCTAGTAAACACAGCTGTGTGTGCGTGTGTGTGTGTGTGAGAGAGAGAGAGAGAGAGAGATGTTATATTTCAAAATCATCAAAAAGAAACTAATACATCGCCTTGGTCCGATGCAGATTTTGCTTAATTGAGGACTTGGGAGAATGATGAAGCACACAACATGAGGAAAAGGAAAGAAAAAAAAAAACAGATAAAGCAACTGCACATGTTTTGCCATGACAATCAAATTCCAACTATTTTATCCTTGACAGATTCACACAAACAATGAGTCAAAGTTATGAGCTTTGGTTACCAAGACATCCCTCTTGAAATCACATAAAGCTTATCTTTTGTTATGATTATGACTAGACACTGATGGAAAATTCAACATCAAAACAATTGCTTCTCCAGACTAACATACTAGAACTTGTGAAGAGTTGAAAACAAGAGGCATCAAACAAGTCAGCAAGCGTGTAGATTCATTCATCTAAAATGAGATAGAGGAGATCTTGCAGAGAATGAGAGCAAGGGAAAAACTAAGTTTTCTAAGAAGCATACCTGGGTTAACCCAAAGTTGAACACCTTCCTCATAAGAGAAACAATTGGGCCACTCATGCGAATGCCTGTGCTGGCCTCCCGAATAGCAGAGCGCATGGCTGTCAACAGGCGACCGTAAGTAGTTCCTGGTTCATTCTCAATGGCTTGTATGAAACTATAAGTCATGGCACCCGTAGTTGTCGAGCCTGCCAAAGCCTGCAGGACTTCAAATTACAGTGATCAGATGAGTTGTCACTCTGGCTAAATGCATGAAAGCAAGACTGAAATAAACAAACCAAGGGGAAAGAATGGTCATCCTTGGATTTAACTCAGTGTTTTGCGGAGCCATGCACTAGATAACATAAGCATGGAGACAGACTAGACTTCACCCAAGATCAAATAGGAAATGTTGGCATGAGAACGGACACAACTCTATCACTTTGCCATGTTGTTTATATTACAACTAATATAATATCTTCTTAAGTTCAGAAGGTCCAGACTGCAATAATAGACTGAGACAACGATCCAATGAAATCAAAAGCAACTCTGGAATTTCAAGTCAAATAGCATAAGCATAATTACTGTAAATAACTTGAATAAAAGATAACAAAAGGACTTCTTCCTATGATCTCCAAGCCCTGAGAATCTATAAGAAGAGCAGAGCGCAAGGTTTATATTCACCAGCAAAATTATTCATCATGTTAGAACAACCCATATTTATTAATCCTCAATGGTTTCCTGGTGAATCATGCACTCACCGAGGTATCTGCAGAAGTCTGGTGGTCATCACAACCACTGAGCAAAATAGCCAATCCCCCATTCGTGCCCTTCCATGTACCTGATGGTGGGTTGTGATCCTCCCACTGGTAATACCCTGCCCTGCGTAAAGCAAAAGGTTTCATTATATCATGGACATGGACTTCAAACCAACCTGACGGAATGCTCATTGTAAGAACATGGCGACACTGATCTCGGAGTTAGCACTAACATTCTATTTTATCTGCTCAAGTTTATGATGGCTATGACTTGGTTTGATGTACTGCGTTGGTCACCTGGATAATCGGCAGAGGTAGGGGAGGTCGAGGACGGTGCCACTGTGGCAGGCATCGACGAGCGCATGGAGCTTGACGCCTCGGGGGAGCGGCCGGACGAGCGTCTCGTTGATCTCGTCGTCCAGGATGGTGCCGTTGGCCTCGAAGTCTAGGGGGCAGAGCGCCTCGTCGAAGCCGTCCACCTCGTCGCCGCTGGGGTCCAGCCGCTGCACGCCGTGGCCCGAGAAGTGGAACACGAGCGAATCGCCGCTCTCGCACCCGCTCACCAGCCACCGCATCGCCATCCGCAGGTTCTCCTTCGTCGGCACCCGGGACGGGCCCCTCTCCTCCTCTGCATATGGTTGCATGACACAGGAATGTTCTCGGTCATGGTTCTGACGACCGTCTTTGATCATGCTATTGAATCCGACAATGACGAAGAGGGCCTGAGGAGATCCATGAACCACTTCCTTACCGGTGAGGACCAGGATGCCTTCCGCAGGGAACCCAAGCCTCTCAATCAGCAGGTACCTCATGCAGTTCACGTCATTCACCGTCCCCTTGAGCTCGTACCGCCGCCCGACGTAGCTTATGCCGACGAGAACCGCCCTCTTCTTGCCCCGCACCCGGGGAAAGCTCGGCGGCGGACTAGTGATGGGATAGCCTTGGGAGCTGGAGCCGCTGCTCGACGACGAAGAGTTGAGGGAGCCGATGCCATTGGAGATGTTCATGACCACGGACTTGAGGAAGCCCATGGCTTGCCGGACAGGGTCTTGGGAGCTCCCCACGTCGGTGATGGCGAGGCAGGCGGCGCAGCGAATGGCCCGAGCTTGCGGCGGTACGACCAGTAGCACGTCGCAGCCGCTGCACCTGGCCGTTTTGTTTCTTCTGCTCCACATCTTCGTCTCCCTTCCAGCTTCACATTCCTCTCGTGGGCTCTCTCTGCGAGGCGCCACCATGGCCTTGCAGGAGAGCCATCACCGGAGTTTACAGCGTGCTCGATTCTTTTCCCATTCATTTTGCCATGGCATATATTCTGATGAGAAAGGAGTGCGAGGGGAATAGGATTCTTGCTACTTTGTTTTCCAGTGCACCATTTTAAAGAGTTGCGTTCAACCAATGCAGTCTTCCAAAGATTTGGATTGCCACTACCTCATGGCAGTCATAGATTTTGTCGACATAATCCAAGATATTAGATATGAGAAGACAGTATGATTCTAAAGAAACTTAATTTACCTGCTTAAATATTGGATGATATGAAGAGATAAAAAGCAATATCTGCTTCACTAATACAAGATGAATGTGAATATATCCACAGTAATATAAAAGGGAACATTAAAATCATCTTCTGGCAAAGCATCCTGCAACCCAAGCAAGATGTAATCAAATAAACAAAAGAACTCAAGAATGATGTTTCTATAATGTATAGTTCACAACCTCTTATTTATAGCTGAAGCAACAGAATCTGCTGAACCATGCTCGAATCTTTTCTCCAGAGTGTCCTTTTCATGCAGTAGGCTTGCTCATGTCTGCTGATGATACTTTCCTGTACTTTTCATCATACTACAATTAATTAGGATGGACTGCTGCAGAATCATAATAGCATGACAACCTTGGGGGTGTCTAAATGATGTACAATCGATTTGGCCAGATATGCAGGTGTCATGGTGACTATTGTCCAAAGTAGTGAAATTTGACAAGCATTATCCAATATTTGTTTTCCACCTTTCTTACAGAGTGAAAGGGAAGGAACTGATATTACCACATAAATATTCACAATGTTTTCCATTATAAACAAGATGAACCAAACAGATGAGCTCTTATGTTGCTGAGACATTTACAACTTCCTGGACTGAAACTGATCTACCCTTGTGAATTTTTTATGGTCTGGTGAGCTGACTGGGGCTAGGATCGTTAGTATGACTTCTATGAAGTATCTTCTGTCCCGACAAAGCTTGTGTAACATCAAGAGACTATTTGAATGATGTAGAATTCAAACCGTTCATTCATATAGAATATTTATGTTTGCTTGCGTCTATCAAGAGCAAAAGAAAAGGTTCTCCTGCTTTTTCTGTAATGTTCACTTTGATGCTCCACATATCTTGCATGGTCACAATCAGAAAACCAGCTACCTAAATTAAAAGTTAACTTTGAATTGTTTTTCAGCTTGGAAGAACAACCTGCAGATAGCTATCAGTATCAACATGCCATGCCAATTGATTGCAATTTCATTTTTTATCTCCTATGCTTTTCGACTCCATGTGTATCAGTGCTAGAAATTAATCCCATCAACTTTCTACTATACATTTCTGAATGAGATGATGCCTCCATCAGGTCATGACAGTGGGAGCTCTCAGCACTGCATGGATGAAAGAGACTATGTTGCCAGATAATGTTGTGCAGTGTATCTCACCAATGAATTATCTCTTTCCTGGAGTGACAATTGCCAAAGTTCTGTTGATGCTAGCCTGCAATCTCCATGAATGATTCACTCTTTTAACCAACTAGCAATCCAGCCAAAACCCAGATCCTCTTTTGTTCAAAATCTTCTACTTGCATATTTGTAAATTTGTTCCTTCCTTTACAGTGATAAGCTGGATCAAATCTCCAGACATAAAGAACATAAATGACATCAACAGAGAAACAAAGTCAACATGGCACCAACAGCTACTGCCTTCCACTTTGCCTTATTAAATAGGACCTGAGTATCGTATCTCTATTCCCTTATTATTTCAGGAAGTGATCTTTACAATTTCAGGATAAAACTGATCACAAGCACAAGAATATAATGTATGACACATCAAATATACCTCCTCCATGCAGTTATGATCCCTAATTCCACCTCCTGCTCTAAACTTATGCACCAATCCACCAACCTCAATCCAACTACAGCCGGTATCTTTCCTTATATTCCTATCATCCATTATTTCTCTGACAGCATTGGCTTCCTCCCACTGCCCTCCAGCAGCATAGATGTTAGCCAATGCAACATATGATCCCGAGCATTCTGGTTCTAGCTCAAACAGCTTCCTTGCTGCAACTTCTCCCATATTAGTATTTCCATGGACTCTACAAGCACTCAGTAATGCTCCCCATAGTGATGGTGTAAACTTGAACATAGACCTGCTTATAAGCTCATAGGCATCATTCAATCTTCCTGTCCGTCCAAAGAGATCCACCATGCAGCTATAATGTTCCTCTCTAGCTGGTATACCATAAAAGTCATGCATCAAACAGAACAATCTCCAACCCTCATCAACCAATCCCGAGTGGCTGCAAGCTGATAAGAGGCAAATGAACGTAATGTGATCAGGTTGAATCAAAGCTGAGACCATGAAATTAAAAGTTCTAAGAGCCTCCTCGGTGTTCCCATGCTTCCCATATCCACAAATCATTGAATTCCAAATGGCAACATTCTGCTTAATGGTAGCTCCATTAAACGCAGCATGGGCAGCTTCTATATTTCCACACTTTGCATACATATCAACAATGATGCCTTGGATAACCTCATCCAGATCAAAGCCCCTCACTATTGCTTGTGCATGAAACTGCTTTGACAGGCTAATGAACCCAGAAAATGCACATCCGCTAAGTAATCCAACAAATGTAGATTGATTTGGCGCCAATTCAACCAAACACATCTCCACAAACAGAGAAACAAGACCCTCTATAACCCCAGTTCGACCATACCCTAATATTAAACAGTTGTAGCAAACCACATCCTTCAGTTGAATCCTATCAAAAACCAGCTGAGCAAGACCCAGGTTTCCATTTCTGGCATAGACATCGACCAATGAGCTTCCAATGAAAGCATCAGAATCGAAGCTTAACTTGACTATCCATGCATGGAGCTGTTCCCCCAGCTCAAGTGGGGCGCTGCCCAGAACAACACTGAGGGTGTGGCAATTTGGTGTCATGCCTTGATGCAGCATATCCGCAAACAAATGCATCATTTCCATCTCGTAGCCCTCTCTATCGGCATAGGCCTTTAGCATGACGGTCCAAGCAACAACATCCCTTTCGGTCATTTGGTCGAACACCTCTCGGGCCTGCGATAGAATACCACATTTAGCATAGAAGCTGACGAGAGACGTCTCGGAGGAGCATGCGTGAGTTTTTTGTTGCGTCCTCCTGATCATGACTCCGTGCACCTCCCTCCCGGATCGGATGGCCCCGAGAGAAGCGCAGCAGTTAAGTACGGTCGCGACGGAGAGGTCGTCGGGCTCGTGGAGGCCGCTCGAGATGGACTCGCGGAAGAGGGCGAGGGCCTCAAGCGGCCGGCCTTCGCGACCGCGCTGCCGGATGAGGGCGGCGTCAGGGTCAGGAGCGGCTCTCTCGGGCTTTTCGTCGAACGCCAAGACGACGGAAGGATCGCGCGGGCGTCGCTGAGGTGCGGTGTCCCCCTGATGTAGCTTGACCTGCCTGTGGATAGCGGAGGAAGGAAGGGCGGCCGCGGCTGCCGCCGGGGTACCGGTGATGGCCGCGGTTAATTGCGCGACGGCACCACTGTTTACTAGTAGCATCCTAATGCATTCCAAGCATATGGCTGCTACAAAGATTCCAACTTTTGGAAGGTGTTACAAGTTGTGGTCATACAATT